AATCTTAAATTACCTATATTTGCTCTTTGCAATGTAATTTTTCTAAGTCCTTTTACTACACAAAAGTGAGCTACCACCAGGAATGGGAGCTCAGGCCTAAAAATGACAATCTATAAAAGTCTCTCTGGGTTCCTGTTCTATTTGTAAAAATGAAAAATATACCACTTGCTATCAGTTCAAGGTATTGAGTATGTTACTGGAAAGAGGTATTTTCAGAAGTGTATATTGTTTATACTATTTATACAAAAATCATTAGGGAGTCCTTGTAAGAGTATCTTACAAGTGAAACTGACTTATAACACAAGGTCATTTTGGAACTTCAGTAATTAAAGCCTTTGAATTTACTCCAATTCTAATCCATCTTTAAAAAAAAAAACACTAAATTCTATTCTATACCAAACACTAAGGCATCATAGAGTACTGAAAAAAGACGGTTTGCTGAATTTGGAATCAGAGGACTCGAATTCAAATCCCAGATCTGCCACTAAACCTTAGGCAAAGTGCCTTGAAGCCTGGAGCTTCCTTATCCATAAAAATAAAGGAATTTAGGTTAGAGGACCTCTAAATCCCTTTTGACTAAATCTACGTGATCTTAAGAGTGCTTTTTGGGGCAACTAGATGGCTCAGTGGATAAAGCTCCAGCCTTGGAGTCAGGAGGACCTGAGTTCAAATCCAGCCTCAGACACTTGACACTTACTAGCTGTGTGACCCTGGGCAAGTCACTTAACCCCAATTGCCCAAAACAAAACAAAAAAAAAAAAAAAAAGAGTGTTTTAAAAGTCTTTTTTTCATAAATTATTCTAAAAAATTAGAGTTTTCTTTAACATAACAGCACATTTCACTGCCCAAAAGAAAACACTACTTTCCATGTTCTACTTCAAATAGCAATTTCACGTTTGTGGTGAACTCTCATGAGTTCAGCACGTGCCAGTATCCATGATATCAACAGCATTCCTTAAACAAATTATCTTTGCCCTTAATCCAGCCATAGAAATGCTCAAGAAAAATACTTTACCCCTCCCCTAATACTTCCACACCTCATCCCATTCTTCAAATAAAGTATTATATAAATCTAATCCCTGATTAAATTGCAAAACTGTTACAGAGAACTGATGGAGAAGTCTAGGATAATAGAAATACTCTCAAAAAAGAGGTACTCCTTGGCCAGAACACTAGACTATGTTTGGAATTGGTTCCTAGTCCTGATTTGGCCAGTCAAGACTGGCTTCTGACCCCTCTGTGGACCTCAATTTCCACATCTGTGAAATGATGAGTTTGGATTAGATAATCTCTAAAGTGCTCATTTATTACATTTCTAGTTTATTATATTGATTTATACTTTACTCGAGCTTAATAAGTAGAAACTTCTAATTATTCTTCTGAATCCCCACCTTAGGCATCTAAGCACTTCTCTTAAAAGTCTCCAATTTGCTCCTGGCCAAGGGTTTTTAAGAACGCAGCTCTAAAGCAATAAATCAGAGAAAAGTCTAATTCAAGGTATCAAATAAAGATCTAGAAGCACCTGCTTCCCCTGCTTTAAGAACATAACCAGTTCACAATCAGTTCTCTCCCCCACCCCACCTCCACCCCAAGGATTTACTTGTTATTTTCATTCCATCCTTAAATGTCTCCATCATTAGAATGTGAACTCCTTGAGGGCAGGAACAGTATTTTTACCTTTCTTTGTATCACCAGCATTTAGCACAGTGCCTGGCACATTTTTGTTATTCCAACAACTGGTACATAGTACGGGCTTAATAAATGCTTGTTGATTGAAAGGTTTCAAAGCATCACAGGATATCAGTACAAAGCATCCTCCTTCCAGAGGATGGACTTCGATTCATTCCAAGACCCATTCCCAATAAGTCACCTGGAATTAACATTTAGGTGCAAGTGACAAGCAAGTAACCTGGTATTTTATAGGGCAGTTTTAATCAAATGGCCATGGAACCTAGGGGGCGTGAGTTATTGTTTAAATATGTAAAAAAAAAAAAATATGTAAGAACCACCAGCAAATCAGAAAAAGAAAAAAATTCTGGCATAATTTTCCTTCTTCATTACAATGTTCTCAATTCTTGAAATTTCAGAATAGACCAACCAAAATACCTGACTTATATGAATCTCCATAGAATATTTGCAAACAAATATAAGGCTATATAATAGAAGTAGATTTGGCAAGTGCTAGAAGGATCCACAAAGCTTTCTTTACATAATTAGCTCTAACCTTGCTGCTTTACAATGTAGAGTTAAAAATTCGGTATTTTAAAACATACACACATCTCTACACAAAATGCCAATGCAGAATTTAGTATCTGTGACTATTAAAGAAATGTTCGCTCTACAGAATCAAATAGCACAGTACCAGAATAATTATGATCAATGACTGTCCTTTTCTATAACTACCAGTAAATGAACCCTAATAAAAATTTATCTTAAGCCATCAAAACAGTGTTTTCAATTAAAGCTTCCCTTCAATTCAAAATAATTGACAAGACAGAACTCTTTTATACTTGAAGTGTTAGATTTTAAGAAGCAATGACACAATAACATAACTTAAAACTTGCCTGAGACAGTCAAATATGTCTCTTTCAAAAGGGCTTCTCTACATCTTCCCCACCAAAGTTAAATACTTCAAAATCGCACTATATATATGACTGCAGTCCCAAATGTTGATAACTGAAAAGAAAATATTCATAGGAAGACATTTCCACAACTACTACCTATGGCTTTCAAAAATGCTACTTACAGCACTATGTCTTCAACATCTGTTAAGACCTTAGGTAATGTAAAAATAATACAAAAATATTCTATTCTTTAAATTACATCTACTTTCCTTTTTAATCACAGATTTCTTTATATGTGATATAATTTTCTATACCCAGCATTACATTCAACAACAATTTTTAATTGATAATTTATGCATGCTAATAGTGATAATTATCTTAACAAAGGTATAAATTTATACAATTTTCACATATATAAAAAGAAACAAAGACTTTTAAATTAAAGACCTGCTCCTATAAAAAAATGAAAAGCTGATTTAAAGTTTTTCCACGAAAAACAGCATAATTAAAATTCTTGGAACCTACAAATTAAGATACATACAAGAAAACATCCATTTCTCTACTCTCCTTGGTTCAGACTTTATATATAAAAAACATGAAATGTACAGAAACTTACAGGGTAATCTTACAGCTGTCAAGTGGCTTGATTTTACAGAAACTATCTAAATTTACTAAGCACCTTTGAATCTTTAAAAGCTTCATGGTAAAATGATATTTAAAATAGGACCACTGAAAGAAATGAAGAATTCAAAATAAGCAACTTGGGAAAGTTCTGACAATTCCATGTAGCTAACTCATTTCCTACCAAAACCTTAAAAAAAAAAAAACAAAAAAAAAACCCAATAATACGGCTTCAGTAAAATTGAACACATCTTTACTTAAGTAAGAAATGAAACATCTTGCCCTCTAACTTAAGAACTGTTGCTGGCCACACTGGAAGTGCTTACATACATACAACTGAGAATGAAGGCCAATCTCTTAGCAGCAAGTTAGGCAGCCTCTTCCTCCGGGGAAGCACATGACAAACAGGGCGTCATGCGAATTGTGTCACCGGGTCACCGGCAAAAATTACATGTAACTCCCCAACTTCAGTCCAATATGGCCTTCCAAGGCCTGAACAAGTATATCCAGGGTCTAGCACACTAACAGGGGAAAGCTTAAATTGACCTACTTTCTCATCCTGTAAACACTGAGCCCAGGGTTGGACCTAAGACAGGATTTAATGGAGGCCTCTTCTCAACCTTCTCCGAGCCTCTGTTGCAACAGTGAAGGAACTTTCCTGCTTTTTCTAGGATCAAAGTGAAGTGCAGCCCCGTAATTCTGTATCTTATCTGCTAGGCCATGGGGAGCAAGAAAAAGGGCATCCAAACCCAACACATTCCAATTTTTAAAAACAAAACAATATGTAACTACCCCGTAAACCCGTGGCAAACCCTTCTCCGGGATTAAGAAAAGCAGTTTTTTACTAACTTGACCAAGATACATTGTCTTCTGCTATATTACAATTGGGGACGCCCCTCCCCCTATGATGTTGAGGAGAGACTAAAAAAGAGAGAAAAAGCGAACATCAAAAGGCTGGCCGGTCAGGGTGATAATGGCCTGACTATACCCATTTCGGGATGTGCTACCACCTCCATCTCTTTTTCCCTCTTGGCTTGGTTTCGACCCCCTCCCTGGATCGGCATGCCTCACCACAGCAGGGGCTCAAATTAAATAATCATAATCATAATCATGGCGTTTCCTCCTGTCCACCCCCCCCACTAGCATTCCCCCCCCTCCGAAACTGCGAATGGGCTACTCCCCTTTCCCGTAGTGGGCCAAAGCCTACACCGTCCGCTCCTTCTGATAGCTCTCCGGCCCGGGATCCAGGCCACCCAGAGACCCAGCGCACACTTCATCCAGTCCCTCCACCCCCCCACCGCCACCCCCGAGGCCCGGACTCCTCGGTCACCTTCCCTCCCTTTTCACCTCCACCATCCCCCATCCGCATTGTCTGTCTCAATTCAACTTTGACTAATATGGATTCCTCGGGCCTGGGCCCGGCAGTAATTACAACCTACTCCTCCTAGGGAAAAGGGCTGCTTGGGTCGCTCCCCTCTCTCCTGGTCAACATGATTCCCAGGGAGAGGCTGGAATAAGCCCATCGGTTCCCCCTCCCCTCTCCTCCCCCTCCCCAGCACCAGAAGTTTACCCTGGACAGGGCCTAAATCCGAGAGGCAGGAAGAGGAGGAGGAAGAGGAGGAAGAGAGAGTAAGACACCTACAACCTCCCCTTCCCATGTCCCCCCCCAAAAAAATCCCCCACCAGCCCACTCCCAGCAACCCCAGGTCCCGTGGCGCCGCACTGCCCCACCTCCGATTAAGAGGAGGAGATGGGAGGGCAGGGGGATGGGAAAGGTAAATTGGGGGGTTCATCCTCCCCCCCCGTCCCCCTTACCTGTCATTGAGCTGGTCCTCGGTGCCCGGCAGCGGGTGAACGACGAAATGGATGGACGTCATGGTGCTTCCTCCTCGTCCTCCTCCCTAGGACACCCCACCTCCCTCGCGCTAACCCGTCCCCCCCCTCCCCCCCAAAAAAACAACCCCTCTTCTCGTCCTCCTCCTCCTCCCAGTCCCCAAAAGGAGGGAACCAAATGCGCAGGGGCCGTCTCCTCCTCCCCCTCCTCGGGCTTCTCCTCCTCCTCCTCCTCCTCCTCGTCCTCGTCCTCCGGCTCCCCCCCGCTCCGGGCTGTGTGTGCGAGGCCGGCCGGCCGGCCGGGCTGGCGGGCGGGCAGACGGGCGAGCAGGCGGACGACCCACCCGCCAGCAGCTCCCCCTGCGCCGAGAGGGGAGGAGGAGGAAGACGAGGAGGAGGGAGGGGGAGAGGAGGGAGGCGGAGGGAGGAGGAGGAGGGAAGAGGACGAAGAGCCGGAGAGGGGGCGAGGTGGGGGTGCGGGAGGAGGAGGAGGCTGGAGAACGAGGACGAGATCGGGGCCGCGGCTGGGCGGACAGGCGGGCGTCGGGAGCCGGGAGGGCTTGAGGAGGTAGCCCAGAGACGTGCTGGGAGTGACTGGGCTACCGGTACGCCGGGGACTGGAGTGGGGCGGCGGACGGGGGGGGGATCGGGCGTGGGGGGGGAGGTGGGGAGGGAGATGAGTCCGCACCGCGCTCACAGGCGAGACGCCTCTACCGCCACCAGCACCGCCGCCGCCATCTTCACTTCTGCCCCAGTTTCTCCCTCTCGCAAGCCCCGCTTCCGAGGGGCGGGGGAGGGGGGAGGAGGGAGGAGGGAGGAGACGGGCAGGCGGGGGGAGGGGGGAGAGGGAGGGGAGAGAGAAAGAGGACGGGGGCAATTCACGTTACGGCTCTACTGATTGGTCGGCGCCGCGTTGGAAGGCCACGAAGCTGTAAGAACGGGGGAGATTGGTCCGGGTATCTCTCCGCCTTCCCTAGCCCTCCCGTGTACGGGACGATAGGGAGCTAGCATTTTGGCCAGAGCACGTGTTATAGGGGAGGAGGGAAGAGAAGGGAAGAGCCCAGACCGGCCTGGGTGAGAGTACGAGAGTGAGTGCGAGAGGGTATCCCGGTGGGAAGCGCAGAGGAGGAGCCTGTTAACATGTTTTCTCCTTGATTTCCCTGGAGCAACCCTAATTATTTTAAGAACTGTGGGGCTTTTATCTCCTTTTCTTGATCTGCTGTTGTATTTAAAGTGAACGTGTACAAACAGTTAAAGGAGGAAAAACTGTTAGAATAATAAGCAAGATGGGGAAGGTTTTCTGGGGACCTAAAGATCATAGGAACTAGAATTCGAGAAATTTATACCTTGAACAGTAGAGATCCTTGAGTCCAATTTAATCTGATTTCACAAATAAAAGGAAGCTGGGGCCCAGAGAGATGAAGTCAGCCATGACTAGAACCCAAGTTTCCTAGCTACAGGCATATATATTCCACTATACCTTTATGCCTCTAACTTTTTCATTTTACAGCCTAATCCCCCCCATGAAGATTTTAAAAAGAATTTTATGCTGTACCTACCCTTTGACCCATCAGTACCACTACTAGATCTGTATCACAAAGAGATAAAAGGACCTATATGTACAAAAATATTTAAAACAACTCTTTTTGTAGTGACAAAGAATTGGACTTTGAGGGGATGCCAATCAATTGGGGAATGGCTGAACAAATTGTGGCATGATTGTGATGGAGTACTATTGTGCTGTAAGAAATCAGAAAAAAGGTGGCAAGACTTAACGTGAGTTTATGCAAAATGAAGTGACAAGAACAGATTATTGTGCACAGTAACAGTTATAATGATGATCAGCTGTGAAAGACTTGACTTCTCTGATCAAGACAGTGATCTAAAACAATTCCAAAGGACTCATGAAGAAAAAATGCTGTCTCCCTCCAGAAGGAACTAATGAATTGAATGCAAATTGAAGTATATTTTTCCTCACTTATTTTTCTTGCATTTTTTTAATATGGAAATGTTTTGCATGATTTCACATGTATAATCGATATTTGGCTTGCCTTTTTAGTAAGTGGGGAAGGGGTGGGAGGAAGGAAGTAAATTTGGAACTCAAAATTTAAAAAGAAAAGAATGATAAAAATAAATAATAAAGTTTTAAACTATTTTTTTAAAAAATGAGGTCAGTGTTCCTCCACTTATATTGGACTTGGTTGGGGACCCTTGTCCTAGTTAATTTCCTGGTTAAGGCTCTGGTGCTACCCACGTGCAATCAATCAATTAATTATTAAGAGCTCACTGTAGTAGGAATTTCATAAATGGTAGTTGGTTGATTGATTTCCAGGTACTGTGCTAGGGGAGTAGAACACAGAATGAGACAATTCCTGCCCTCAGAGAGCTTACATTGGGGATGTTTTCTGCTTTATTACCTTCTACAGTATGGGCTTTTCATCCTTTCAAGCCCTCACCCAGTGGAGTCTTGGCACCAAAAAACATTCCCCAAACAACTTCTACTAAGCATTCCCTCCATGGACGGCAGGCATGGCCAGACCTCTGGTAATCCTTTTTCATATTAAAATAAATGTCTGTCCTAACTTTCAAAGGATTGATAAAGAGTTTTGAATTACACATTAAGTGGAAAAAAATTTAATGGATAAATGTTAAAATCATTATAGTCTTTGCACAGCAAATAAGGAGTGAGTGACTCATAAAAAATTTATGAATTGGAAATTATTTAAACAGAAGTAACATAAATTTTCCCACTGAAAATGGAATTATAAAGGGATAAAAGAGATAGGTCAAGTTAGGTCCCAAACCTCAACAGTGGCAGTATTAAGAAAACATGAATCCAGATCTCTAGTGAGATACTTTAAATATGTATCCTAAACAACTATGCTGTTAACTTAGGTTTTATAAAACTTTATTGTACCTTTTTCAAAGGTCTATTGAAAAAATTTTCAGCAAAACATGGACATCAAGAATTATACATAAGGCAGGATGGTCTAAATACCACATGGGACTAGTAATGGGACACTTTCATAGGTCACCACTTCCAACATTGACCCAGATTACTTTAGGTTCAAAAAGTATTTCAGACAGCTGTTCTGTAAAAGCCCATGTGAACTGAGTCTAGGATGCTGATCTATTTCCATAACACAGAAAGTGGTATGCAACTAATTCTAAATTTTACTACTTGTTGGCACTCTCAATAGAAAAACTAAAATTTCCTAAGCCTTAAGGATTCAACTAGTGAGGCAGTTTGGCAGCCTCATATGTCCAGTCGGGTCAACAAGTATTTATTACACCATATATTATTTTGTGCCAGGCACTGTGCTAAATGCTGGGGACACAAAGAAAGACGGGAAAAAAAAACAGTCCCTGGCCCCTTAGAAACTCAAAATCTAACTTGAGTGGGGTGGGGCAGGACAATATGCAAAGGATTATGTTCAAACAAGCTATATAGAGGATAAATTGGAAGTAATTTCAGCAGGAAAACACTAACATTAAGGACTGGGAAAGTCTTCCTGCAGAAGGTGAGATTTTAGCTAAAATTTGAAAGCTTGAAGGAGGCCAAGAAGAGCATTCTAGGCATGGGGGGACAACCAGTGAAAATTCACAATAAAGAGATGGAGTGTCCTGTGTGAGGGAAAGCCAGAAGACCAAAGTCATCAGACCTTAGAATCTATAGAGGGGCGTAAAGTATAAGAAGACTGAAAAGATAGGAAGGAACCAGGTTGTAAAGAGCTTTAAAAACCAAAGAGAGCATTTTATATTTGATCAATAAGAGGCCACTGAAATTTACTGAATCTGGGAGTGACATAGTTAGGGGTTTTAAGATCACTTTGATAGCTGAATGAAGGAGGGACTGGAGCGGGAGAGACCAACCAGTAAGCTATTGCAATAGTCCAGTCATGAAGGTATTTGAATAATGTAAAAAGAAGAGGAAGGGAAAATAGGGAGCTCTTGATGAATTGCCTCAATTTCTTTAGTGAATTCTGAAGCAAGGTTCTAAACTGAGAAGGGGAAGGGAGGAGAGCCATAGGAGGTTTGAAAAAAGTCACCATGGTGAGTGGGATCATGAATTAATTAAGGAGATGGAAAAAAGATTTCCTTACAAAAGCAGGAGACCAGTTGATATTATGTAACGTAAACTTGTAATAGACCAAGTTAGCATGATTTTATGATCTCTCCAGTTTCATTCAACAGGGAATGAATAGGAACAGCAACAATAGATGGTAGAAGTAATTAAAAGGATGGGCAGGGTGATAGGATAAGAGGAAAAGGGACTTGAAAGAAGAGGACATTGTAGAGTCAAACTGGTTCATGAAAGGGTCAAGAATGGGAAAGGTAGGAGGAATAAAGCCAGTACGGGAGTGATGGTCTGCACTGAGTGGATAGAAAGCCATCCTCTGGGTCAGGAAGACATGACTTCAAATTCTGCTTTGACACATATATACTGGCTATATGATCCCAGGCAAATCATGTAACTCTCTAAATTAGAAAGCAGTTGGCCTTCATTAGTAAGGAGAGTTTCCTTACTAGCAGTTTCTGACAGATGAAATTACAAGTCTGGATCAAAAAAAAAAAGAGGAAATGGGTATAATATTGAGTTTGGGAAATAACTAACAGACCTTTTTGTCCTGAAAGTACAATGTGTGAAGAAAAGTAATATGAGACACATATGAGACACAGTTAAGTTAGAGGGAGACTGGAGGCATAGGAATCAGTTAGAAGCCTGTTATGTCCAGAGGAGAGGTCTTGATCTAGGATGGGATGCTAAATTACTAGAGAATGCATTCCACTGGAATTTAAGCTCCTTGAGGACAAAGAATTTTAAATTTTGGTATCTCAGAACCTGATTCAATATTATTGCACATAGTAGGCACTTAATAAATGTTTGTTGAATTGTGTTATCTCCTAATATTCTGGTGCAACAATGGTTTTTTCAATACCCTCTACCTCAACATGGGTGTAAAAATTATATTATGTAAATGTGAGGTGCTATAGATAAAGTACAAAGAATGAAATAATCCCTACTTTCAAAGAGCCTCCATTCTAATAAGAGAGACAACAAGGACATATATAAATACATA